TTTACGGAGTTGGGACACTTAACTCCAGAAGCTAAGACTGAATTTAAAAAAGTATTAAATGTAAGTGAATTTTTTTTCCTTTTTATGAAAATGAAATATACCGTGCGGCTCTTAATGTACTATATTAATTTTTATAGGAAATGTGGGAGGAACAGTGGGGAGAGATTAGTCCGTACAATTTGATTTGCATTGAAAAATATTTGGATAAAATGCAACACGTCCTTAATGATCCGTCACTGAAAAAAAAGTGTCATCACTTTTTGCCATTTTTATTTAAAGTAAGTTTTTAAAAATATACGTTCGTATAAATTAATGTACATTAAAGAATATGTAAGAAATATTTATTATCTAATATAAAATTGCAGGCAGTAGACAAAGATCATAGTGGAGAAATTTCTGTACAAGAATTCAAGTTATTCTTCCAATGCCTAGGTCTCACCCATGACGTAAGCAAGCATTACGTATTACCGTGATAATGAAAACAAAACTGAAATAATGAAGTTCTTTAAATTTTTTATATTTATTATAGGACGCAGTTATTGCCTTCTGTCATATCGATACTAATTGTGATGGTAAAATAAGTTTCGAAGAATTTATAACGTTGGGCCGCGACTTTTTCATAACGGAAGATCCGACAAAACCCAGTAAATATTTTTGGGGCCCCTTGGTGGATTAAATTTGTTATCGCGTAATTGCGTATCCTGTAATTTGTGATAGTAAACTACTGTGTTCAGAGTATCTGATTTTAACACTTTCTGTGCGGACGATATTGTGCTGTACAGTGAAAAGAATGATAATCCAGAAACTATTGTCCAATCGTAAAATAGATCAAAATTATGGTTCAGACGTAGAGACAGAAAGATGAGATAGGAAGAGGAGGGAGATAAGGAATAACTTGTGATGAATATGTCTCTGATTACCTTTGATGTTGCCGCACAATGCATGAACGTACGATTAGACAATATATATTTTTATATCTTTTATAATTGCATCAAAAGTCGGGCAGAAAGTGTTAAATAAATCAGAGTGACTGTTACTTTCATTCGTTATAGTTAACGCATAGCATGTAAGTTTTTATACTTTCTCAGAATACATGTTATTGGAAAATAAATTTTCAATAACATTCTATATCCAATTAAATGAAAATACTTTTAAACATTATGAATTAAAGAACTTTTATAAGACATTTTTCTTTCGTCGAAAAGTATAACAGTTTAATTACAAAATACTCACTTTTATAAATATACGTAATTGTATGAAAATAAATAATTCGTCAATTGTTCGACTACTTTGTCTTCTGATCCCTAAGTGAAAAGCCTTCACCAGTGAATGCTTTAAATTCATCTGGATCTTTCATCTATAAAAACACAAATATGATGATGCATTAGTATGTAGGAATATGTCACTCTTTTTCTTCAATCTGTTAAACCTTACCTCCTTATTGTTAACAGGTTTAGTATTACGCAGAAATACAAGAGTTCCTATTTTATAATCGTAATCTGGTATTCCCCTAATATAAGTTGGTTTATTTACAGTCACTTCAGGCTTTGCACAATCTCTAGGTTTTTTACCGTCCAATCTGACACCCTCTCCTTTGAATGGTATGAAACCTGACGGTGCAGGCATTAGATCTGCTGGGTCTACTACATTTTCATCTTTCTTAATTTCTTTTTCTACGTATCCCAATGGTGGAGCAAACTCAACGTTCATATCACATTCTATGATAGTAACTGCAGGACCAGGTTGCGTCTCCAAAACGCACATTTCGTATATTCTTTCATTGTATTTTATGGCAATAATGTCACCTGTTGTAAGACAAGCAAAGTTTCTTAATCCATTTTCTAAAACAGCTTTGGCATTTGTGATGTCTAGAAAATCTTCAGATTGTGGTTGGAACCGTGAGAATGTAGCAATTGGCAGAAATACACTTTCAACATTGACTAGATCTCCCTCTTGTAATAAAAGATTATGCATCATCTGTAATCATATCATACATTAAGTTCTGCTGTGTATCAACATAACTTCTTTAACTAGTGACATAAAATATAAAACTTAGGCACTCACCCAATGAGGTAAATAAATTCTTCCTTCGTTTGCAACAAATTCCAAAACACCACAATGAGTAATTCTGTTAGTCTTTTCGTTGCTTAATTTAAATATCATGGGAAAGCTGATATTCAATCTTGTGAGATGTTCTAAAGCCGAGGGTGGCATGATTACTGGAAAACAATGAATGATAATAATCCTGTTTTGTCGAAAGATGTATGGATCTGAATAAGCTTTTTTAACATTTCATACTTTTTCCGCCACGTTCTACATCTTGCCGATATTTTCCTGGTAACATCGACACAGAAAAACATCTGTAATGATTGTTGAAAGGCCTAACGATCTCAAACATGTTAAACCCAAACTGAAAATTGAAAGTCATTTTATTGAAGACAGCCTAACCTCAGTTTATGAGAAAGGCCATCAAACGAAACGTCATTCCAGCGTTAATTTCATTTTAATCGTAAGATTTTCTTTACCATATTCGTGTCTTCGTTAAAGCACCCTCTTGATGGTTTTATGGCTAATACAATTATTTATAAATACGCAAATTTCGATAAACGTATAACTATGACGTACATGTGTATGTACACAAAAGCACAACTTGTACTTACAATACTTGGATTAAATTCTGATTTTGATCATGCAATTATTCAAATTTACGTTTAAATGAAATAGTCACATAAATTTATTAAATGCTTCTGTCAATATCAGTGTAACGCTTATATATAATAAAATTTAATAAAAAAGAAGAAAATAAAAAAAATATATTTATCAGAATATTTTAAAAAGTAGGTAATAATTTCATTATACCTAAGAATATTTGCTTACGTGGATGGTAAATAAAATTCTATCAACGTATATACATAGTATATTGAAAACTAATTATATTTTTTTATTTGAAATAGAATATATGTATGACATTGAATACTAATGATATCATTACAAATTTAAAAAATCATCTTAATTCTAATTACATATAGTTAAATGCAAAATTTGAGAACAAAGTATTATAACAATGGCAACTACACTGCCTGCAGTGTTTCTCTCTTTATAGAAATAACATTTATAATTAAATGTACTTAAAACATATTTTGTAACTTGAAATAGAATGTATTATGGAAAGCATAACTTCTATATTATTATTTCTAATATGTGCATAATGCATCATACAAATTACAGAATAAGATTACAAGGCTGTTAATCAATAATAACACTTCATTTTGTAACTTCATTAATAGCATTTGCAAGGTATTCTACGTTCTTTGTCGTTACCCCAGCCATAGATATTCTACCATCCTTTGTTAAATAAATGCTATAATTTTTTGTAAGTTTCTCTACCTGCAAAGCAGATAGTAATTCGTTATTTTCCAAGATATAAGGAAAAAATGTAAAAAACTAAAATAACAATATAAACAATAATACCTCTGGCAGTTTAAGACCAGTGTAGCAAAACATTCCAATCTGATCTGTAATATGTGCCCAATTGCGAGTACTGCCAAGGTCCTTAAGAGTATCACGCAGTTTTTGACGGACCGAAATAATACGATTTGCCATTGTTTTCACATCAACAAGCCATTCCTCTCTCAATTCCGGATCTCCTAAGATTGCATTCACGATTCTTGCGCCGTAAATCGGAGGATTTGAATACATCGGTCTAATTAAAATCTTCAATTGTGAAAGAACACGCGCTGCTTCATCTTTGTCAGCAGTGACTATCGTTAATGCTCCAGCGCGTTCACCTATTTAAAATTAATTACAATTATCATTGGACGTTTCCAGATTTCAAACTGTATGCTGTATTGCTGTAAGATTATACACTTACCATATAAACCCATATTTTTAGCATACGATTGAGCTAAGGCGACTTTAATTCCTTGCTTCACAAATAAACGGAAAGCTAGGGAATCTTTGTCCAAGTCACCTACGATCCGTATAAGAGTACTTTATTATACGAGCATTGTGGTTCAAATCCCTATATTATTTTATTATTTCTTTAACTTTTTAATTGTTTATATATTCTAGTACCTGAAGCAAACCCTTGATATGCCATATCAAAGAAAGGGAAGAGATTCCTTTTCTGCACTACTGCAGCCATTTCTTCCCATTGTTCTGGTTTAGGATCAACACCAGTAGGATTATGAGCACACGCGTGGAAAAGTATCAAAGATTTCTCTGGTATATTCTATAAGGGAAATTATACATAGATTAAAAATAAAATATACAAGTACCATCTTATATTATAGTGGAAAGTTACTGACGCTCAAATCTTCCATAAGGCCGTTAAAATCTAATCCGCACGTTTGTGGGTCATAATAACGGTAAAATTTCAGTGGAAGTCCGGCGAGTTTGAATACGGGAGCATGATTTCCCCATGTAGGTGTTGGCAAATACAGTTCCTTATTGCCAGGGAAGAAACGTTGCAAAAAGAATGCACCAACGGAAAGAGAACCTGTTCCAGAAAGTGCTTGTACAGTAGCAGTCTAAAAAAT